CTATTAGAATTCAATCGGAGTATTCAGTTGACTACTAGTTGACGGTCAACTGACCGTCAATTGACCATTAGTTGAATTTTTGCCATGCAAATGAGGGAGCGATCAACTCATTTGCATAGAGTGGACCACTGTTGAATGCTCCTATATATTCTATGCAGTTGACCGCTAATTGAATACTCCTCTATTTCCTTTGCAGTTGACCACTAGTTGAATACTCCGTGGCCTCTATTTCTTTTACAGTTGACCGCTAGTTGAATGCTTCACTATCTTCTTTGCAGTTGACCGCTAGTTGAATACTCCTCTATTTCCTTTGCAGTTGACTGCTAGTTGAATACTCCTCTATTTCCTTTGCAGTTGACTGCTAGTTGAATACTCCTCTATTTCCTTTACAGTTGACCGCTAGTTGATTACTCCTCTATTTCCTCTGCAGTAGACCGCTAGTTGATTACTCCTCTATTTCCTTTTCAGTTGACCGCTAGTTGAATACTCCACTATTTCTTTTGCAGTTGACCGCTAGTTGAATACTCCATTAGTCAGTGCATGTAGGTTGCATGCATTAATTATTTGAAAAAAATGGAGGGATATTTGAAATCGTATGCCCTGTTCACATGACGAGTATAATTCGCAGTAAATTAATGCGAAGTTAACTAATGCGAATCAAATTAATGCGAATCAAATTGCGTTCACACGACAACTAATGCAAAGGAAACTAATGCGAATTAAAATTTTCCATCTACAGTCAGGCGTCAGTAAGTTATTATGACATCATTTGTAAATCACATCAAGTATGCATGCAGAGCCATCCTTTAAAACATCATGTAGTGGTTACAGTTATTCATTGATTTTAGTGGTTAACATACTTTCCCTCAGTTTTTTAATCAAATATAGCACAACAAAGGTACTATGACTTAATTCTGGCCTTACGCATGCTTCAAAATTTAATTCGAATTAGCTTCGCTTAGCGTTCACACGGAGCTAATGCGAAGTAATTTAATGCGCAATAAATTAATTTGAATTAAACTAATTCGCATTAATCGAATTAAACTCTCCATGTGAACAGGGCATAAGACAAGCAGAATTCTTAAAAATATAAATAGTAAAAAAAAAAATGGAGTTTCTAAATTGACATAAATGTACTTGTAAATCTAAATGCATTATAAATGAATTGAGCTGGCACTTTCTCATAAGTTGTTACATGCCTTCATTTTCAGTACAGAAAAGGTTATATATAGAATTAGTCTAAATCAATTGTATATTTTTACCAATTAACACATGAAACACAACAAAACACTTGATGCATGACAAGTTTTCAGAATTCTTTCAATATTTAAAAAAAAGTACACAAAAATAGGGACCTATACTGGCTACAGTTTTCTGTATTCCTAATATCTGTTTAAAAATAACAATATAAGCTTAGTAAAACAAATCTTTAAATTTTAAATACTTACAACGCAATAGTACATGTACATGAGATATTTCACACGCTGAATCATCACGAAGACAGTTTCAAATCAAAATTCCCACCTTTCTACAAACATACATGTACTGATTCAAATCTTGGTTGTTGTAATTATGGTATAACAAACCCGATCTATGATAATGTAATTTTGAACCCAACATAAATGTAGCGTGGGAGAAATTTTCTAACAAGTCGGAGTGTTCAACTAATGGTCAACTCTTGTTTTGCATGAAATTTCAAAGTATTAGCATTCAACTAATGGTCAACTGGCCGCTTTATGCAAATCAGTTGAACGCTTTCCAGAAAAGCATTCAACTCCGAGTGGTCAACTGTTTTCGCATTATCAGTTGACGACTAGTTGACTGCTAGTTGACGGCTAGTTGACGGTCAACTACACATTTTCGTATGGGACATATGTTTGAATATACTGTAATACATGTATAAGGTCAGTTGCACTGCCCTCCCCTATCCTCCATATAAAAATTGAATATAGATCTTAACTTCAAACCCATGTGCTATGGTTCATTGAAATCGTTAACAGCCACACCGTTCTGCAGAAAAAGAAATGCTTGATTTTTTAAAAGGTTTGTAATGTTTTGCAATACGCATGATACTCCATTAGTTTTTTTGTGGGAAACTTAAAATAAACACCAATGAAAGCTTTTGGAAGAAGTTCACAATATTTATGGAGACCAGCATCCTTTATATAGAACCAGGTATTAAAGGGACATGGACACAGTTTCAACTAAAATTTTAAACCAATTTTAATGCTTACAGGGCCTAACTAGGGCATCATCTGATGATCAGCAAAAAATTGAACGACCAAGATACAGAACTAAAAGTTCTTTAAAATGTACACAAGGCTCGTGCCCTGTTTTTATTTACATATAAAAAATAGTTTATACATAACAAAATGAAAATCAGCAAATCACTAGAAACTGTCTAATTGTATTTAGCATTAACTTCTTTATTGAAATTATTTGCTTTGAACAAATATATATTAGTATATTAATCTACATAAACAAAACATGACACGGACCCTGTTTACATAACAAAGGTTTGGAGCTCTAAATCCGTCTTGTATCTCGACGACTGAAGTTCAAATTTTTGATGATTATCAGAAAGAAATTAGTTGAATATTCGTAAAAATGAAAAAAAAATAAAGAGCTAGGTTCACCTTGTGCATAAAATGGCCCTGTACTTACATGTATTGCAATTATGTGACTATCACCCTCTTTCCCATTTCAAATTTCAAAATAAAGTAGAGACGTAGTGCTTTCATTCCCTATAACAAAATTTCCTTTTGAGAATCCAGGTATTGGAAAACAGGCTTGAAGGAAATGCAATGTTCTTGAACTTTGTAGTAAACATGTGTATTTGACTAGTTTAGCAAAGAATTAAAATATGATAGTCCACCATCCAAAATTTAAAACGTTTTTTTTAACCTTCAGAAACAGATCTTTCATTATGTTATTTCATATTTTGGATCGGCGGTTGTGCTCTATATGAAATATTGAAATAATACTTCAATTTTAGGCCATTTTTAAAGGTATTAACAGGATATGGAGAAAATGATGCATTTAATGACGTCATAATGCATTGACTAGATGATAAATTACGTCATGTTCAATAGATACGAAGTCAACGAGAATACAAGTTATAAATCCTGAATTTTCCTGAATTTTCGGCCTAAACTGAGCAGTTTTGAATTTTCAGAAATCCTCATCGCCAAAAATCGCCCTAAGTGGCTCTTGCTCTTTGAAAATTTTTAGCTGAAACTGTGTCCATGCCCCTTTAAAGGTGCTTTCCAGGTGGTTGAAGAAAATTAAAGATGGGAGAGAAAGTGTTAAAGATGATGTACAATCTGGAAGTCAACAAATAGTTAGTACAGTTGTAATACAAAAATATCTGCTGAAAATCAAAGATGCAGTAGAGAGAGATGAAAGACTATCAAGGACCTAGCTCGAATAGTAGGAGTACAGGTATTAATGGGAACAGATCATTACATTCTTACAAAGACCTTGGCTACAGGAAAATTTCTGCAAGATGAATAGTCCATTTATTGACTAAGATACAAAAAAAGCTAGTCCTGTTTCATGTGCAAAAAAAATATTACCGGTAAACTACTCCAAAAGAGTGAAAATTGACTATTTTGAGAATAGAAAACGGTGATGAAACGTGGGTGTTTTTTTTCAGCCAAAAAGAAATTTTAATAATAAAGTTTGGATGATAAAACATGAAAAGCACCCCTTTGCTAAACGCTGTCAGAGCATAAAAAGATTTTCTATGTCATTTTCTCTGATAGACAGAATGTTGTGTTTCAATTACGTAATCCTAATAAGAATCGTGTTATTGAAAAGAAGCATACATGTTAAGGTCATACGCAACGTAGTTTGAACTTTATAGGGTTCTTCCCTGGAGTTGAAGAGTTTCACTAAATGAAGGACCTGTGTTCATTTCTTTTAATGTCTATATATGGATGTGTACACCTCTTCTAAAACAATTTTTAATGAAAAAAATATCTTGAATAAATGTTTTATAATTTTTATACATTTTTCTTTGAATAATGTAAAAATTCAAGATTTGATATCTTTTCAAAACCCCTGGTAACGCATGCTGATATTTTGTCTAAGAACATGTGTATTATAAGTTTGAATTTAGAATATCTTGAAAAATTATCAGTAGGTAAGGTACCTTGCGTATGTCCTTAATGTAAAATTTTCACAGCACTTCCGAAAAAAAAAAATCCAAAAACTGGTACCAAGGGCCTCTTTTTCTTGGACGATAATGCTCCAGCCCACAAATCATGCGACGGACATTTTCAGTATTCCTTACACCGATATTTCCCCTCTGTGAAATTTGTGTTCCTCTTAAAAGTTAAAAAATCATTCAGCTTTTAACAAACGTAAAAACATTTATCATTCCACATAAGTCTGTGAAAGGTTTACCTAAAGAGGAATATAAAAAAGCATTTGAAGAGTGGATTTCTCGTTTGAAAAAGTGTTAAAGGGGAGTGAAAGAATGAGTTTAAAGACCCTCTCACACGAAGCAAAACCTTATATGGACATCTAGAACAATATATTACATAATGATGTTAATATTGAGCATATTCATATTAACATTTTACTATATGGTACGTGGCATTTATCCCCAGGAAAATTAATCAAAGACGAACACAGTATCAGTGAATGGAAATCATTGTCGTTTACTTCTATATATAGAGAAAAGACATGTAAATAATTAACATGTTCAGTAAATTTATCTCAGCCTTTTAGACTGTTCAGAATACTTGAATTGATTACAGATTGAGTAATATACTGTAAATTTGTTTTTGACTTAGGTTCAAGGGCAGATCAGTCTAACTGCAGAATAATACCAAAGGATCAGAACTCCTTTGTGTGCGGTGTAGAAAAGGCTTTTAATTAAGAAATGGAAATGATTTGATGTCCTTGTTTCATAATTATTGCACTTAGGACTTAACGTTTTGATTGACTAATTATAAATACAGTTTATAGGACTTTAAACGATTCGTACATCCAGCTTCGTTGTTGTATTAATTTATTGTCTGATTTAACATTAATTTATTACATCTTTTTCTTCCGGACATGTCTTTTCAAGAATAAAATAAGGACCCATTGATTGCATCTCATCTAAATTTCTTTTTCCATCATCATCGCCTTCAGCTGATTGTTGTCGTATTTGGAATGTGTTATTTTTATTTTCATCATCTGTCTTAACACCAAGCTTAACATTTTCTTTTTCTACTGGTTGAAAAGTTTCATCTGTCATTGTTTGACGAATTTCACGAATTTCTTTCATTGTTGAATATCGACCTGGTTTTGGGGTTGTTTTCGGTTTCTCGTGTAAATGATCGTATACATTTTTGTCAGGAATGGCTTCATATACAGACATCTCCACTGGTCTAGATGAAGCTGCAGATGCCTACAAAATTGAAAACATAACTAAAGGCGTGTAAAAAGTGTAAAATGCACACATCAAATAAATGTCTAGTTATGTAAAAATGGTGACATTTTTTGATAGTATATAACAGCTTAATTATTTGTGGTTATACAATATACATACAATACAGCATGTCTCTTTTGATTCAACAAAATTAACCATTTGGTTCTTGCATTCGCATTAAAAATTATTATTATTTTTGAGCTTGATAATTATTCGTTTCCCTCATATATTTCATATCAAAGTTTAAAATTGTCTTTTTGAAAAAATCACGGAAAGTCCTATTTGTTTATTTCTTCAACATCACAATACAAATATGGTATTGTAGATCGTAATCTTTTAAAACCATCTCGTTTAACGGGAGAGAATATTACGAGGTTTGTTCAATAGATAATGCAAAATGTCATCTAGAAAAGGAAAAGAAGTTTAATTTTATTTTTTGATAGTTCTAATATCTTCAGGCATTCACTGTTACCTTTCACACGTGTCTTAGATCTTTGTACATTGTATGCATGAAGAGAAAACCACAGCATATTCATCATTGGTGATGTCTCAAAGACACTGATAAATATAATTTCCCATGACATAACAACATTGTACAATCTTCCTTTGATTGTTTTTTTTATGTGTTTTGGGAATTAAAAGATCTTAAATTGACTGCGATTTAGCTAATATGGGTGATTGAAACGTTTTGTATACTTTCTTTTCTTCAAATTCTTATTCATTTTGTTAAGCTTAATTATATGCAACTGTGTTGTCAGGCTCATGAAATATACCCTGTTCACAGATATTTCGACAACCTTTGCCAGAAATTTGTTTAATTTTCCTTTGTGCAATTCGAACATAAAAGTTACCATGGCTGGTGTTTCGTTTGAATGTATGTACATGTGTAAATGGACCACAATGAATACATAAAAACTAATGAAATATATTCTAATTCTAATTCTTATTTCTCGGCTATAAAAATTGCACTTATGTTTTGTCATTCAACAAGATGGTTTATAAAATCTTTTTTTTTAAAATTGTCTTTAAAATAGATCGTTGGTACATTTAACGGATGTTTTCTCTAAGGCATTTCTAAAAAGAGCACCTTTCTGATAGAAATATTGTTATATTCTTAGCTCACCTGAACTAAAAGCTCATGTGAGCTTTTCTGATCACATTTTGTCTGTAGTCCGTATGTCTGTCTGTCCATCTGTAAACTTTTTGCATTTTCGACTTCTTCTCAAGAACCATTGGGCCAATTTTAAGCAAACTTGGTATAAAGCATTCTTGGGTGAAGGGAAAATAAAATTGTGAAAAGGAAGTGGCAAGTTCCCTTCCAAGGGGAGATAATCAAGAAAATACAAAAATAGAGTTGAGTCATGAAAAATTCTTCTTCTCAAGAACCATCGGGCCAAAAAAAAGCTGAAATGTATGTAGAAGTATCCTTGGGTAGTGTCGATTCTAAATTGTTCAAATCGTGACCCCAAGGGTTAGGGCGGGGCCATAATAGATTGTTTTCCTTTGACATATTTTGCCTCTGAGTTATTCCCCTTAGCCGCCATCCTGTAGGAGAAAGCAGTGAATTATTATCCTCTTTAAGCAACCAAATTAAAACATGCATACCAGAAATATATGGGGGAAATATTTATAATCTCAATATTTGGAAATATTGGAGGCTTTAATAAACATATTTTCATAAGAAAATAGTTTTAACTTTACCTCATTAACCAGTACAACAAATTAAACTTGTTTGAATAATGAACAGATTTGGTAATGTTACATAGAAATATATAGGGGGAAAAAAAAATTAAAAAGCTACTTCTCAAGAACCACAGGGCCAGAAAAGCTGAAAGTTATGTGAAAGCATCCTTGGGTAGTGTAGATTCTTAATTTTTAAATCATGACCCCTGGGGGTAGGACAGGTCGACAATAGGGAATCCAAGTTTTATATGGAAATATTTAAGGGGAAAAAATGTAAAAACCTTCTTCTCCAGCACAAGAAGACGAAAACAGCTGAAAATTATGTGGAAGCATCCTGAGAGAGTGTAAATTCTAAACTGTTTGAATCATATCATTTTAGAATTGTCTGTTTAATGTCAGAAAGGCCAAAGTCACTCAGGTGAGCGATGTGGCCCATGGGCCTCTTGTTCATTTTGTCAGAATTCTTCAAAATGCTGTGATGATAATAGGTTTAGAATGTTTACAATGTCTTTCCTGGCAAATTTAACATTTTTAAACATCATCTGGGACATGATATCGATTTTTGGGTGCCCCGCCCTATTTCAATCGGCCAAATTGACCGATGTATAAGCTCTCCTTTCTTTTAAATAAAATTGTCAATCTATCTGAAAAGTATGCAGCGTTAAATATCATTGTTTTGTACATATAAAAATCATATTTGAAATATGAGTTCTTTGGCGGTTTATTTAAAAAGCACAGATTCAAATATGCTTGTATTTTCAACTTCTTGGAAGATTTCATAACATGTTTTCTTTAAAAGTGAATTTCTTCATTGGTGAATTCATGGGATTTTCTATATTTGGTAGCTCTTAAATAAAACTTTTTAAATGTGAGAAATTAAATCAGATGCCTCATTTTTTAAAGATATACTGTATAATTATTGCAGTACTTATCGAACCACCCATGTACTAAAAAAACCCAGTATGTTTCTTAAAATTTCACAACAAATAAATTTACGTAATAAATATTTTTATTATTTTATGTACAAAAGAAGCCAAGCTTGAATATGAGATTGAAGAATGCGCCTTTTCTTACATTTTCTCCTCTATCTGAATTTCTTGCAGACGTCAGTGATGAGACAGAACAACATCTCTCAGTGCTTTATATTTTATACAGGAAATGAAATAAAATAACAATGAATCAAGAAAAATATTTCATTCAGAAATAAAGTATAATAATATAACTATCAATCCAAATGTATACATATACTGAAAGGAAAAAAAGAACATTATTAACCTTCGGATATGCTTTAAAGTGACTTTTAAATTGTTTAATTGTTTTTTACTCGAACATTATTATCAAATATTAAGCCTTATTTGTTAAAATTCGTCCTACGATTCTCTGATCTAAGTTTAAGAAATAATACGAGACATTTTTCAAAGTTAAAGAAAATTTGTATAGTTGGCGTTGTTGAACCTTTCAGTTGTAGGTAAAGTTTGACTGTGTAGGAGCAGTGAAATAGGTTTGTGATTGTTTCTGAGAATGTCTGACATACCCAACCAGACTGAGCATGGTCAATATTAAAGATTAACTCAGTGATTAAGTGCTCATATACCAAATTTAGAGTAACATCTATGTAAAGTGGACAAGAGCGCAGACAATCTAGCGCAATCGGTTTTTCTGATTATTAGTGTTCTTATAAAAGTGACAAATATGATTGCATACTGTTTTCAAGCGTTTTCACAAATAGCTACATGTATATTGCTTATACACGTGTGTATCTGTGATGGGGGGTTTAGATAGAAAGTTTCGTTTGACCTGTTCTCGTTACACGTCTACTTTTCCTTTACAATTGGTCAAGAAACTCTTTCCTTTGGTTCCTTAACACAGATAAGCCATTCAATGGTATAAAGTTCACAAAAAATGCACAACCAGCTGTTTATTTTATTGTTGTACATAAAACTTATTTTAGCCGTGCTGTAAATACAATAAATTCAAAATAAATGTAAATAGCAGAAAAAATGTGTACCACTCTACAGTATCAACCTGAGTTACAAAATTTGTTGGCAAAACGGCCGTAGTACATGTAAAACTCATGTTTACAGTTTTTATCACTATTCTTATGTGATGTCATACCTTTCATTGTTGGTAATTTTTTAATACTAATTCCACAGTAACCAAAACATACATTTACTATTTTTCGTAATTTTTTATAACATTATTATTAACTTAATAAGTTTCTTTTTCCTTTCAGCATTATAGTAAATTGATTTCAAAATTATACATAGTGTTGTCGAAAATGAAGACACTGTAGAGTATTAAACAAAATAAAAATAACTTACCACAATTTTTGACAGCAAATTGTCGGTTTGATTTTTCTAGAATTAACAAAAGCTGCCGAGCAAACACCTATGAGTATACCCAAAAAGATGCCCCCTGCAACTGCAGGACCTATATATCCAGGATTAATGGTAACTTCTTTGGATGTGGTAACAACGTTCCCATTTTCTGAAACATGGATTTTCAAATAATTCTAAACAAAAGCATCAGTTGGTTCCACACACGCACACGCACACAAATAATAAAGGAAATTTACATGTAATTATCAGATCTGCTTTTCTGATAAAAAAAGAGATATAGAATAAACAATTTTCGTAATTGTTTAAGCAGTTGTTTGGTTAAACTTCTTTTCATTTATACATCTAAAAAATATGTATGGCTACATGCACAAACTATCATTACCCAATACCTTTCGTAAATCCGGGAATCTGTTGTTTGAGACACTGGCCGACAATACAACTTTTAAATGGTTCTGAAATTGTATTCAGGTCATAAATCGAGTACTAGTAACTCTAATATTTTTATCTCATAGAATTATAACGTTATTGCATATATGTCTTATTACACAATTCTCTTTTAAGCAGAAAACAGAAAAATGCATACCTATTGTTTTTTGGTCCATTTCACACTCGATTATTACATTTTCCTCGTTGTAATTACACTTCATATTCATTTTATTGACCAGTTTCAGGACCGTGTCCGCAGCATAGTTTACTCGGAAAATGATATAGTTATCTGTCGTTTTTGACTCTGTCCATTTACAGAGAGAGCATTTCACATCCTGTTTGAAATCATCAACTAAAATTAAAAAAAAATCAGGAATTTATAACTGAAGGAACATCAGAGCCACACTATCGCCGAAGTAAACAAAACTAAATGAAGAAAGAAATTATATCTTTTAATCACAATGTCTGTAAAAGTACAAACAGGGGATAAAACCTACAATTGTTTAACAGTTTTTGTGACGAGGGAGAAAATCCAGAGTTGTCATTATCTTTGTCAGAGGATTTTTATCAAAGATAATTGTATTGATCTTCAGATACTTAATTAATACATTATCACTGTCATTAATTAATGACAAAGATTAAAAAAAATTAATATTATGTTTTAGCAATTCTGTTCGCTTCATGTTTAGAAGCAGGTACATGTAATATGAATTAATTATGTTCATTTTAGTTGACAAGCTAATTCCCTCATTTTAGAGACTAACTGTTGATTGTTAATCATTCCTATATTAACAAGAGGCCCAGGGGCCACAGCGCTCACCTGAGCACATCGGCCAGGAAAAAGCAAATATCAGATCAGAACTGAAAGTTTACTGAGGTTGGGAGTAGGGGTGAGGGTGGGGTGGGGGCTTGAATTTTAACCCCCAAGGGATCATGATTAGAACATGCTCGAATCTACACTACCTGTGGATGATTCCATATAAATATTACTGATCATGGCTTTGAAGTACTTGAAAAGGAGATTTTTAAAGATTTTTCCTGCATATTCCTATGTAAAACTTTGATCGGCCATTTTCGCCCCATCCTACCCCCCGGGTCATGATTTGAAAAAACTTAAATCTACACTACCTGAGGATGGTTCCACACGAGTTTCATCTTTTCTGACCGTGTGGTTCTTGCGAAGAAGATTTTTGATTATCCCTTTATACTCCTATGTAAAACTTTGATTGGTCATTTTGGCCCCACCCTACCCCGGTGGTCATGATTTGAACAAACTTGAATCTACACTACTGAGGATGATTCCACATGAGTTTCATCTTTCCTGGCCCAGTGGTTCTTTAGTAGAAGTTTTTTTAAAAATGCCATTATTTTTTCTCTAATTTAATTATCTCCCCTTGGAAAAGGGCCTGGCCCTTCGTTTGAATAAATGTGAATTCCCTTAACCCAAGAATACTTTGTATCAAGTTTGGTTGAAATTAGCCCAGAGGTTCTTGAGAAGAAGATGAAAATGTGAAAAGTTTACAACAACAACTTCAACAACAACTACAACGACGACAACAACAGACAACGGACAAATTTTGATCAGAAAAGCTCACTTGAGCCTTTGGCTCCTTTTAAATGACATACGTTTTTCGTGTATTTATTTGACACGATATTTTTATAAACATTTTTGAAGAATAAGATAAAAACCACATCATGTCAAATTAAGATAACTGTCTCGTCAAGTCATGATAACTTTCAGGTCTGTCGTCAAACACTGACTTTTATCTTGTTTAGTCAAGATAAGCTATCGTATTTTTGCGATAGCTATTTCGACAAAAAAAAATAATTTGTCTTGTATCTTGACTAAAAGTCATGTCAAGATGGATATTGCAACAAAATTTGATAGCTTATCTTGACTGAACAAGAAAAAAAAAGTCGGCGTCTGTCGACAAACCTGAAAGTTATCATGACTTGAAGAGATTGTTATCTTGACTTGACGCGATATCTTATGTAAACAAAAAATTATGTGGATGGCATAAATATGCCACCATGGTAATTTTTTTATTTGAAAATGCGAAAAAAAATGTTGATAAACTTTAAGCATCTTTTAAATACAATGTTATACATGTACAAAATTATGAAAACAAAAATATTGTTGGCTCATAAGATATACATACCAGAAGTTGCATTTAAACACATTGATCCATTAGTAAGTTTGCTATAAAGATTTGCTACACCTTGTATGCAATTTCTAGAATAGAAAAATGTGTGCAATTCAAGCATAGGTTAAGAAAATATGAAGGAAAAGTATATTTCTTTCTATGTATATGTTTTTTTTTCAATAAATTTAAAACCAACTGTGTAAATTCAAATGAAAATTTGTTATATCATCTTAAAAAATACACATACATGTATATAAAATGAACATGAATACAGTTATATAATCGTCTTTAATTATACTCAATATATCATTATATTTATTATATTTTTATTTTATTAATCCACGAGTCTACTCTGCTCTAAATTTGTGAAACCACAGGTGTCTGAAGTTTCTATTGTCCTTCCAAAAAAAAAAAAAAACCCGCAAAATTTCCCCACCTTCAACTAAAAAAACACCAGGATGTCAAAGCGGTTTGAGAGGACCTACCTAAACAGATCTGGGTTCAGACAGAAAAATTTTGCGACTAATTCAGTATCCAGAAAACTTTTGCTATTTATTAAAGTTAAGAAATTCAGTCTGCTTGACGACTAGGGGCTGTTTCTGACCCTTTTTCTACCGTGACAGCTCGTCATAGTAGAGAAAAAATTATGAAGATTGTGAGAAAATAGCGAATACATGACAAGTAAACTGCACTGTAAAGCAAAAAAAAAAAAAAAAAAAAAAAAGAGAGACCCATGTGCCACATCACTCACCTGAGCACTGTGGCTTGGAAGAAAAAGTAGAAATTGGTTTATTTTTGAAAAGTTTAAATCCTGATGTAAACCTTTGACCAGTTATGGTTTTGTTATTCTTGAGAAGATGATTTTTATAGAATTTTCCTATGTATTTCTATGTAAAACTTTGGTCGGCCATTGTGACCCGCCCTACCCTGGGGGCCATGATTTGAACAAAATTGAATTTACAAAACCTGAAGATGCTTTCATATAAATATGATCAATTATGGCTTTGTTATTCTTGAGAAGAAGATTTTAAAAGAATGTTCCTATATATTTCGATGTAAAACTTTGGTCGGCTATTGCGGCCCCGCCTTACCCTCGGGGGTCATGATTTGAACAAATTTGAATCTTCACTACCTGAAAATGTTTCCCTATAAGTTTCATCTTTCCTAGCACAGTTTTTCTTGAGAAAAAGATTTTTTAAAACATACCATCAAATTTTCATTAATTTCAAATTATCTCCCCTTGAATGAAAGCGTGGCCCTTAATTTGAACAAACTTGAATCCCCTTCAACCTAGAATGCTTTGTGGCAAGTTTGGTTAAATTTGGCCCAGGGGTTCTTGAGAAGAAGTCGAAAATGGGAAAAGTTTACAGACAGACAAACGGACAGCTAGACAGACGGACATACCGGCGCCGGACAAAATGTGATGAGAAAAGCTAAGGTGAGCTAAAAAAAACAATATAAGATACAAGAAGGTTATATCTTTCGTTTCGTTGTTCTCTTGTATGTCAAGGTCACTCCACTTTTCTTCTCAGCTCAAAATTGTACACAACATTCAGTGGGAGCATGCAAATGTGAGAAATATTTACTAAAAACTTTTTAAAGAGATTCTATCAAAATTCTTGGTCTCCCTACATTTATTCTTTGGTACCTGAGACCATGGTATCCATGAAAACTTATTCAACTTTTCTGCGCGCGTGCGTACAAAAGGGAGGAAGAAGAAAAGCAATAGTATTGTTCTGTGGCATACTGAAATTATTTTTACTTACAAATGTATATTTTTCCCCAAACAAATAGATGTTTTAGGTTCTGAAACTTATATTTTTCTGAAATCTAATGCTTCAACAATTGAACAAACTTTTCAAGGGACACGCAAAAATTCTACTTTTGTCATTTTCCCTTTGGTGCGTCACGTTGTCTCTTTAACACAAATGGTATAAATAGTACTATCAAATGCCAAATCCTTCTAAATGTATTGGGAAAAATTTCATTTGATTAAAAAACTTCGTCATAACTACAACCAACAAAAGTACATTCATGATAATTTAAGTGATACTTGACGTCGACTGTCATGTGTTTTGTTTCCTAATTGGCACGAAGTGTGCTATAGTGGGTGCATTAGAAAGTGATAGAAATATGCATTGAAGATTCTGACGACTTTGTGACATGTAAATTCATAAAATATGTAAATCATATTTCTTTGTTAACGAGATCATCTGCTACTGTTTTCGTTTATCTGGGAAAACTTAATTTTTTTAGTCTAGGGGAAACTTAAAAATAAATACACATTTAAATCATCTTACCATGTCTGTGTACAAATATAAATATAAAAATATGCCTAACTCGTTCATAATACATTAATTTACTTATTGTCTACTCACATTTCTTCTCCGCAGACATGAGTATAAAGGATCGGCCACATGGTTGTGATGAACATCAAGAAAACTATCAAGAAATCTCATAAAATGGGTTCATTAAAAGTCAAAAGGGACACCCATACACAGGAAAAATTCATCAAACAAAACATTTTAATATACATTTTAATGAAAAACAAAGAAATATACTTGTACATATAAATAAATCATTCAATCTTAAAATTGATTATTGTCATGTGATGTGATAAATTATACTTAATAGAAATAAAATGTAACAATAAATAAAAAATGGAAACTTACTGCAATTCATTGTAAACTCTTAAGCTTCCGGGCACTGAAAAGTCTCACACAACACAACAACGAGCGGATATGACATGACTATCTTCTTCCTTTCATTGTGCATTTATTCATACAAGGTCACTAAAACATTAACTTTTTCACTCTTTCATAATATCCAATTAAATTAATTTTTTTTCGAGCATTTGAAAGAGAGAGAGACAGATGACCTGTAAAAGATATACTTTAACTTTTTGCTCTTCATTCACACCGCCAGCAAATTAACGATTTCCTTCTTTAACGATTGTTTTAAACTTTCAGCCAACTCTTTCTACACGTTTTTTAATTAAAAGTAGGGGCGTACTCGTGGTAAACCGGAAGCCGGATTTAGCTTTTTTCGGTTCGAAATTTATGGTACATATAACATTAGCAAATACGTAAACAATGTCGACAGAAGTGTTGGAGGGGTGCATAAAGATGATTGAGAGTATTTTTGTTCAAGGATTGAGATTTATACAGTATGTAGCAGAAAATTGAATCTATTTAAAACACAAGCGCGAGCGTCAAATGCCAGACATTTCAGATATATTTTTTCCTAGGAGGTTATATTGATACTATACCTTTATGACGTTTATGATTGCAACTCCAATATTTCTTATACCTATTTACAGAAACCGTAGCAAATAATTTGCTCTTATGTCATTAAATAACAATTGTCTTTCTTTGTTTTTATTTGTGCACTATTGGTATGCTGTGCTGATTGGACTTTCCTACTTTCGTTTTTTACGACAAATTTTCTACATACGAACGAAGATACTCAGTTATAATTTAAAAAAAAAAAAACAGCACAGGCTACTAACGATGTATATGAAATTTCAGACATACTTTTGCTTGAAAGACATTGTATATCTTGCTTATAATCTTTTGTAAGCAGTAATAGGCATTCAGAAAAGTCGTATCATTAGTAGTGGACATGTCCCCTGTATATATAATATATTCAAAATTTAATTGAAAGTAAAATTTATGTTTGTGATTCGGAAAGGGTGTATAAACGTTGATAAAATTGTTCGAACAAGAATATTTCACTTTTTAGCTGATTTATAAATATCTTTGTTTCCGTGCTTAACTTTACATTTATATATTTTAATGACAAGTGTAAGCGCTAAAATTTTTTTACGCCAATGCATTCCAACTTGCTTTTGCGCTAAATACGTATATAGAATTGTCAAAGTTAAAAAGATACACGTTATAACTTGCGCCATTTAAAATACGATTGGAAATTGATATAATTTGTTTATCAATAAAAGTTACGAAAATACTGTAAATTACACCATTAGAATTAAACGCGTTACAAAGTTATCAAATAATAATTTTTTAATTATCCTGAAAGGAAAGAAAAATAGCAATTTTTAAATAAATCCATCACGTGACGCCGTCGCTACTTTTAGATTGATAAACACACGTGGCGTAAAGAAAACAAGATAGGCCGTTTGAGATACTACTCACTTTTGACGTGGATGGCAAGCTTCTTACTTAACGGTACTTATCTTTTAATGTATAAAGTATCAACCATCTTCTCTGTTTTGACGCATATTAACCTTATATTAATAATTTTTGTCAAAATGCAACATACCTCGTTGTCTGTGATTTCCCGTGGACATGTGTTTCTATATATAGGCCTACTGTTTACGCACTTCCTTCATCAATATTCATGAAAAGACTGAGTTCTTAATTCCTAGATATTGTTTAATTGTTTTGTTATTACAACGACATCTACAGTAAAAATTCGTGAAAAGTATTATTTTTCATTACACTTCATTAATCATTTTTCACACAAAATTCGGCGTTCATATAGCGTATATGACTTTAAGTAATTCTGTATCCATCTATCCAAAAAATACCACTTACTGAATAATTTTCATATTCTATACTCAGTATTCTGATTATGTTTTGCACAGACTAAGCAAATTTTTAAAGGTGAATTAAACAATTCCATTTCTAATATAACCGAGTTAGAAATTGAAAGGAAAAAAATACATTTAGTTTTTTTTTTCCTATCTAAGTTGTAACAACTGTAAATGTATCTAATCAAAGGTATAAAGTTAAATTTATTTCTCTGTCAAAAATAATATTTTATAAAGATAAATTTTCTTTTTTTTTTTTGAAAATCTTTGATCAAACCAGACATTTGAAAGTACATATACTCATACCGGTTTGATAATAAAAAAGTATGAAGGAACATGAAATCCTATATTGAACATGGATTTTCAAACAATTCTAAACAAAAGCATAAGTTGGTTCCACAAACACACACCCACACACGCACACGCAAAACACCCTGTAAAGGAATGTTAATTATCAGAACTACTTTTCTGATAAAAAAGAGATATAGAATAAACAATTTTCCTAATAGTTTAAGCAGTTGTTTGGTTAAACTTCTTTTCATTTATACATCTAAAAATGCACAACCGTATGGCTACATACACAAATTATCATTACCCAATACCTTTTGTAAATCCGGGAATCTGTTGTTTGAGACACTGGCCGACAATACAACTTTTTAATGGTTCTGAAATTGTATTCAGTTCATAAATCAAGTAACTCTAAAATATTTATCTCATAGAAGTATAATGTTAATGCATATATGTCTTATTACACAATTCTCTTTTAAGCAGAAAACAGAAAAATGCATACCTATTGTTTTTTGGTCCATTTCACACTCGATTATTACATTTTCCTCGTTGTAATTACACTTGGTATTCATTTTATTGACCAGTTTCAGGACCGTGTCCGCAGCACAGTTTACTCGAAAAAGGATATAGTTATCTGTCGTTTTTGACTCTGTCCATTTACAGAGAGAGCATTTCACATCCTGTTTGAAATCATCAACTAAAATGAAAAAAAAATCAGAAATTTATAACTGAAGGAACACCAGAGCCACACTTTCGCCGAAGTAAACAAAACTAAATGAAGAAAGAAATTATATCTTTTAAACACAATGTCTGTAAAAGTACAAGCAGGGAATAAAACCTACAATTGTTTAACAGTTTTTGCGACGAGGGAGAAAACCCAGAGTCGTCATTATCTTTGTCAGAGGATTATTATCAAAGATAATTGTATTGATCTTCCAATACTTAATTAATACATTATCACTGTCATTAATTAATGACAAAGATTAAAAAAATGAAAAGAAAATAAATATTATGTTTAAGCAATTCTGTTCGCTTCATGTTTACAAGCAGGTACATGTAATATGAATTAATTATGTTCATTTTGGTTGACAAGCTAATTCCCTCGTTTTAGAGACTAACTGTTGTTTGTTAATCATTCCAATATTAACAAGAGGACCAGGGCCCACAGCGCTCACCTGAGCACATCGGCCAGGAAAAAGCAAATATCAGATCAGAACTGAAAGTTTACTGAGGTTGGGAGTAGGGGTGAGGGTGGGGGCTTAAATTTGAACCCCCTCCCAGGGAATCATGATTAGAACATGCTCGAATCTACACTACATGCGGATGATTTCATATAAATATTACTGATCATGGCTTCGAAGTGCTTGAAAAGGAGATTTTTAAAGAATTTTCCATCATATTCCTATGTAAAACTTTGATGGGCCATTTTGGCCCCATCCTACCCCCGGGGGTCATGATTTGAAAAAAAACTTAAATCTACACTACCTGAGGATGATTCCACACGAGTTTCATTTTTCCTGGTCGTGTGGTTTTTGAGAAGAAGATTTTTAAAGATTATCCCTTTATACTCCTATGTAAAACTTTGATTGGCCATTTTGGCCCCACCCTACCCCGGGGGCCATGATTTGAACAAACTTGAATCTACACTACCTGAGGATGATTCCACATGAGTTTTATCTTTCCTGGCCCAGTGGTTCTTCAGTAGAAGACTTCTTAAAAATGCCATTATGTTTTGTCTAATTCATAATTATCTCCCCTTGGAAAAAGGCCTGCCCCTTCGTTTGAATAAACGTGAATTCCCTTAACCCAAGAATACTTTGTATCAAGTTTGGTTGAAATTAGCCCAGTGGTTCTTGAGAAGAAGATGAAAATGTGAAAAGTTTACAACAACGACTTCAACAACAACTACAACGACGACAACGACAGACAACGGACAAATTTTGATCAGAAAAGCTCACTTGAGCCTTTGGCTCCTCTTAAATGACATACCTGTTTCGTGTATTTATTTGACATGATATTTTTATAAACATTTTTAAGGAAGATAAAAACCACTGTAATTTAGTAATTTTTTTTTTAAATGAGAAAAAAAATGTGTTGACAAACTTTAAGCATCCTTTAAATACAATGTTATACATGTACACAATTTTGAAAACAAAACTATTGTTGGCTCATAAGATATACATACCAGAAGTTGCGTTTAAACACATTGATCCATTAGTAAGTTTGTTATAAAGATCTGCTACACCTTGTATGCAACTTCTAGAATAGAAAAATGTGTGCAATTCAAGCATAGATTAAGAAAATATGAAGGAAAAGTATATTTCGTTCTATGTATATGTTATTTTTTCAATAAATTTAAAACCAACTGTGTAAATTCAAATGAAAATCTATTATATCATCTTAAAAAATACACATATATAAAATGAACATGAATACAGTTATATAATCGTCTTTAATTATACTCAATATATCATTATATTTATTATATTTTTATTTTATTCATCCACAAGTCTACTCTGCTCTAAACTTGTGAAACCACAGGAGTCTGAAGTTTCAATTGTCCTTCCAAAAGAAAAAATCCCCGCAAAATTTCCCACCTTCAACTTAAAAAACACCAGGGTGTCAAAGCGGTTTGAGAGGACCTACCTAAAGAGATCTGGGTTTAGACAGAAAAATTTTGCGACTAATTCAGTATCCAGAAAACTTTTGCTATTTATTGAAGTTAAGAAATTCAGTCTGCTTGACGACTAGGGACTGTTTCTGACCCTTTTTCTACCTTGACAGCTCGTCATACAGAGAAAAAATTATGAAGATTGTGATTAAATAGCGAATACATGACAAGGAAATTGTACTGTAAAGCAAAAAAAAAAAAAAAAAAAAAAAAAAAGAAAGAAAAAAAAAGAAAACAAGAGACCCATGTACCACTTCGCACACCTGAGCATTGTGGCTAGGAATAAAAATGTAGAAATTGGTTATTTTTTTTTGAAAAGTTTAAATCCTAAAGTAAACCTTTGACCAGTTATGGTTTTGTTATTCTTGAGAAGATGATTTTTATAGAATTTTCCTATGTATTTCTATGTTAAACTTTGGTTGGCCAATGTGACCCTGCCCTACCCCTGGGGGTCATGATTTGTTCAAAATTGAATTTACACTACCTGAAGATGCCTCCATAAAAATATGATCAATTATGGCTTTGTTATTCTTGAGAAGAAGATTTTAAAAGTATTTTCCTATATATTTCGATGTAAAACTTTGGTCAGCCATTGTGGCCTTGTCCTACCCTCGGGGGTCATGATTTGAACAAATTTAATCTACACTACCTGAGAATGTTTCCCCATAAGTTTCATCTTTCCTAGCACAGTGGTTCTTGAGAAAAAGATTTTTTAAACATACCATAAAATTTTCATTAATTTCCAATTATCTCCCCTTGAATGAGAGCGTGGCCCTTAATTTGAACAAACTTGAATCCCCTTCAACCTAGAATGCTTTGTGGCAAGTTTGGTTGAAATTGGCCTAGGGGTTCTTGAGAAGAAGTCGAAAATGTGAAAAGTTTACAGACAGACAAACGGAAAGCTAGACAGACGGACATACGGACGCCGGACAAAATGTGATGATAAAAGCTCACTTGAGCCTTCTGCTCAGGTGAGCTAAAAACAATATAAGATACAAGAAGGTTATATCTTTCGTTTCGTTGTTCTCTTGTATGTCAAGGTCACTCCACTTTTCTTCTCAGCTCAAAATTGTACACAACATTCAATGGGACCATGCAAATGAGAAAAATATGTACTAAAAACTTTTTAAAGAGATTCTATCAAAATTCTTAGTCTACCTACATTTATTCTTTGGTACCTGAGACCATGGTAACCATGGAAACTTATTCAACTTTTCTGCGCGCGCGTACAATAGGGAGGAAGAAGAAAAGCAATAGTATTGTTCTGTGGCATACTGAAATTATTTTTACTTATATTTTTCTCCAAACAAATAGATGTCTAAGGTTCTGAAACTTATATTTTTCTGAAATCTAATGCTTCAACAATTGAACAAACTTTTCAAGGGACACGCAAAAATTCTACTTTTGTCATTTTCCCTTTGGTGCGTCACGTTGTCTCTTTAACACAAATGGTATAAATAGTACTATCAAATGCCAAATCCTTCTAAATGTATTGGGAAAAATTTCATTTGATTAAAAAACTTCCTCATAACTACAACCGACAAAAATACATTCATGATAATTTAAGTGATTCTTGACGTCGACTGTCATGTGTTTTGTTTCCTAATTGGCACGAAGCGTGCTAAATAGGCAATTTAGCCACATATGATCCACATATGCATTGCCTTTCATATGAGGATCATATGTGGATCATATGAGAATCATATGAGAATCATATGTGGCAAATCATATGAGAATCATATGATTACACATATGTAAATCATATGAAGTAATATACATATGATTCTCATATGAAAGATACTACATATGAGAATCATATGAATATTTTGACAATAATCATAAGAGAATCATATGAAACTGATCATATGAGAATCATATGAAACAATGTTCACTAATTTGTCCTTGTTATACTCAGGTAAAATTCATACGAATGTTTTGACTGTGATCATATGAGAATCATATGAAACGGTGATCATATGAGAATCATATGAAACAGTGTTCACGTATCTGTCCTTGTTATACTGAAGTAAAATTGCAATAATAATAATATTTATCAAAAGATAAATTTAAATGTACATTAATTCAAAAGAATTTGTTAGTAATATTAATTATATGTAAAGTTCTACTCTGTTTACCCTACCCCCCCCCCCCCCCCTTTTCCTTCTAAAAAAAACCTTTCACAATTTTTTTTCTGTTATAATGCATTTCTCAGACAAAATAGATAAAGAATAAATTAATTTGCTTTTCATTTTAAATCTTTTGGGTTTGGCTAAGTAAAATTAAAATAATTCCGTATTTTTCTCCGGGTCGGTTTGTTCTTTTATGGGATGAAAATATACGTCATTTTTGACGTCACTGCTGCAGCAGACGTGTTGGGTGTTTGGAATTTTAAGGCAAGTGATCTCCTAACAATATTATTTTAAAGACTTTTGATTCATATTGTTTAAATATCATTTCATTATGGTTACATACAGGTGCGTATAAACTCTCTATATACTCTTATCACTTGCATCATGCATGTAATTGTTAAATCAATGCATTTCGTAAACCTAACGTTCGTGATCTGTAAGTAAGTTTGGATAAAATTTGCTTCTGAATGAATGTAAGCATTACATGTTAGGCTAAAGGCATTACTACTTTTTAAAACTTGAATTTGTTTTCGTTTTGTTACGTACTGATATGAAAGTGAAAGTAGAAACCTTGTATGTCAGTTGGCGTTATGTATGTTGAGATCGTTATCAAACCCGGATTCCTTCTTTAACTTAATGACAAATGTTTGTTTTTATGGCCTATAGATGCATTCGGCAACTTGAGTTCAGTATCACAGTGCTGTTTTTTTTTTTCAGTCCAAAGAGCCCGAAGCTGAGAAGACTGGCGATTGATCCTGAAGCTGATTTGACAGACGATTGCATCATCACAATATTGAAGGTAAAAATAAATGCTTGCAATGAAAAATCAAAGTATCTGTAATGTCTCTTTATGACAAAATATTTCTTTATAATTTTTTTTGTTCTTTTATAATTCTACATTGTTTGCATGGCTTCATCAAAAATAAATTCAACTCAACTCAATACTCTAGAAATTTTATTCTACATTAGAATTTTAATCCAGTGCACTTAAAATATGCAAAGTATGAATAGATTTTGCTGGCTGTAAAGGCTATGAAACTATATAGTATACAATAACTTTTTGGGGAGGGGGGGGATAAATTGGATTTTTGAATTTCAACTAAAAATTTATAACAGCACGTGACATCCAACTTTAAAGGTATAAAAATACATGTGCATGTGTGTTGAAAGAACATCAGCTAGCTAATCCATTGAATATTTACATCTATGTATTCATTGACTGACAATTATTTTTTCCACCCAACACTAGTGAATGGTGCGTGTGCCTACAGTATAGTTTTGGGTTAAATGTTATATTATAGATATATTTAAGACTATAGAGAACCTACAAACTGGTACTCTCTCTTTTTAATAGTTTAAGTTTTAATTAAATGTATTCTTAGAAAATATCTACTGTGTGAGACTGTGAGTATTTGTCTTACAGGTTCAATATGCAGTCAGCCTCCCATAAGATAAAGAACAAATCCCAAGATCCAAGGCTTGCTTCAAAGTTAAGGTAACTACACATTGTTAAATAAACTTTGTTATAGTCTTCCCAAAAGTTTGGGATATCTTGGACTCACAATGTCTGTTTTTCTGCCTGTCTACCTGTCTGTAGTATTTTTTGTCCAAAAATAATATACATGTATTTGTATCAGAATCTTCTTAATTTTTTGACAATCTGAATTAATATATACTGTTTGAACATTTCCAAATTTAATTGTCAAAATAACAAAAAAAAAAATGCTTTTTATGATTTTATTATGAAGCATATCTTTCAAAAGTGTAATTGTTTTGCAAATTACATCATAGGATTCCTCAAAACACCTAGTATAACATATATAACGTTAGTTTTATCTTGTATTATATCTATGTCAGTGAATTGGGCATACATTTGTTTGCTGATTATACCTAAGTAAATTTTATAACTCATAGAATTTAAGAATTATTTTATTTTTACTTTTAAAATTTTTGTAGAGACCATTCTGTGCCACAAAGAAATTGTTCAGGAAGAGGAGAAGTGGTGGATATTCATTTTTGGTACGGTACAGTTCAAAGAGATTTTCAAAATGGTCATGGAAGATCAAAGGGAGGACAACTGAAAAATTGAAAGATACAGAAGGAAAAAGAACAAGGAAATATATGAAATAATTATGAAATGGGGAGGATGTACACAATCTTGTCTGAATTTGAGCTGTGAAAATTTCCCATATTCTTCAGTATGCTGGAATAATCAATAACTTGATTTTTCATAAATTTACAATAGAGAATACATGACAAATGTTATTGCTGATATTTCAAATTTTGCTTTGGACACTTTCATGTCATATGGTATCTTTATACATGAACTAATTATGTTATTCATTTGTACATGTACAGTATACATGTTTAACTACTAAATCATTTTGCTGAAATCTTATAATTTGTACTCATGTTAGAATATGTTAAATACATGTATCGACAAATGCTACTGACTTGTTTGTATATTTTCTTGTTTAGAATGTACACTGTGAAAAATAAGTTATTTCTCTTGATGAAAATAATTTTATCAAAAAAGTTGTGTAAGCATTTTAATATATTTTAAAATATTTAACCAATGACGATAGATCATTGTAATGTAATGAATTTTCATCTAAAGCAGAAATATCTGAATTTTAAATGTGTACAAGAATGTGACAAATATTGAAAAAGAACACATAAGTGTTTCATATGATTTACATATGACGCCCTTTTCATATGATTCTCATATGTAAATGGCTTGAAACACACTAAAATCATTCATATGAAAATCATATGTAGTTATTTTCATATGATTTACATATGTGGATCATATGTAAATCATATGATTTGCTTCATATGATTCACATATGATGCCCTTTTTCTATGATTCTCATATGAAACCAATCATATGAGAATCATATGATACTCATATGAGAATCATATGTGGCTAAGTTGCCTGTGTATAGTGGGTGCATTACAAAGTGATAGAAATATGCATTGAAGATTCTGACGACTTTGTGACATGTAAATTCATAAAATATGTAAATTATACTTCTTTGTTAACGAGGTCATCTGCTACTGTTTTCGTTTATCAAGTAAAAACTAAATTTTTTAGTCTAGGGGAAATTTAAAAATAAATGCACATTTAAATCATCTTACCATGTATGTGTACAGATATAAATATAAAAATATGCCTAACTCGTTCATAATACATTAATTTACTTTTTGTCTACTCACATTTCTTCTCCGCAGACATGAGTGTAAAGGATCGGCCACATGGTTGTGATAAACATCAAGAAAACTACTAAGAAATCTCATAAAATGGGTTCATTAAAAGTCAAAAGGGACACCCATACACAGGAAAAATTCAAAACATTTTAATATGTATTTTAATGAAAAACAAAGAAATATACTTGTACATATAAATAAATCATTCAATCTTAAAATAGATTATCGTCATCTGATGTGATAAATTATACTTAATAGAAATAAAATGTAACAATAAATAAAAAAATGGAAACTTACTGCAATTCATTGTAAACTCTTAAGCTTCCGGGCACTGAAAAGTCTCACACAACACAACAACGAGCGGATATGACATGACTATCTTCTTCCTTTCATTGTGCATTTATTCATACAAGGTCACTAAAACATTAACTTTTTCACTCTTTCATAATATCCAATTAAATTAATTTTTTTCGAGCATTTGAAAGAGAGAGAGACAGATGACCTGTAAAAGATATACTTTAACTTTTTGCTCTTCATTCACGCCGCCAGCAAATTAATGATTTCCTTCTTTAACGATTGTTTTAAACTTTCAGTCAACTCTTTCTATAGGTTTTTTTAATTTAAAAACCAAATCATGGCTTTTTTTTTTACCACTTCACGATTTCTGCTATATAATATATATTTTTACAACCATTCCAACAGTAAATGAAACTCTTTACTTTTGTATATCATTTGATATCATGGGTATCCACTTTTTGAATAAAAATGAAAGTTAAAATTGCAAATGTACTTACATTGACATTGGTCTTTTAGGAATACTTTTGTTAAAAATTCTGATTGAAGACAAAAGTCTTATGAAGCTAACATTTTAAAAATGTGATCTAGTACTGTAAAACGAGAATATTTGGCGCAAGAGCCCCTGAACGCTTAAATTTATTGTGCGCTATCGGATTTCTAAACATTTTTTTGTAAGTGTTCTAAGACTTCACATGAATACATATAAACCGAAACATGCGATTACGTAATGTCGAAGGGTCGTTGGATTTTTGTATACACACTAGGACTGCAGGATCGATCGAGAAAGAATGATGTTTTTTATGCAAAAAGCCCGTCTTCCCTAAACTCCTATTTCATTTTACACAGTGGCCTAATCCTTTTTTGGGAGAGTTCACTCTTTTGAAATTTTGGTAAAACATCAAGGTCAAGGCGTTAAAAATCATAGCATGTTGGGAAACATCTTGTTATGGGTAATGTACACTTGAAATATGAAAGTCCTATCTCTTCTCAATCAAAAGAAAATACAACATTATTGAAAAGTAAGTTGAACTTCAAGGTCAAGGTCACAGAGTCAAAAAGTCATGATACATTTGGAAAGGTCTTATCACAGGTAATATGAACTCTCTTTCATTTATCTTTCAAAATGATCAATTTAAAACAATTAATTTGTTCATGACAGTAGGTCAAACTTCAAGGTCATGGGTAATAAAAATCATAGTGTATTTAGAATGGTATTGTTCCATTAAATACTAATACACATGTTTAATATAAAAGTCCCGTCTCTTCTCATTCAAAATATATGACCATGATGACCAAGGTTAAATTTATTGTGACAGATGGATAGACTGACAAACAAATAAGATTTAATGTGTCCTACCTTTAGCGAAAATGGGGGACAATAAATGTCCTTGCTGTTCTTGAGAAGAAGATTTATGTTGGAAAAAGTCCCCTGCATATTTAGATGCAAATTGGTTGAAACTGGCTCAGTGGTTCTTAATTCAGAAGTTAAGAATGTGACAAGTTTGCAGAAAAACAGATGGACGACAGAAAGCAGTACATTTCAGAAAACAGTATGCTTGTAAATAGTTAATCAAGGTGCTTTGGGTAGCAAAATAAAGCTAAACTGGTATATCTAATTCATCCGCAGAGCTTAGTATATTTCAATATGCACAACCTTTTCAACTCTTACAATAATTATTTTCAAAATATTTATATCACCATGTCTGATTCAAGGGAGAACTTGAGATATGACCAGAAGTATATCTGTTGAATATAAAATATGTACATGTATACTGTGTTTTTTTTTTTAGTAATTTGTTTGTTTGTTGTGACAGCAACTGTTATGGCAGCTTTTGGCAAAGGTTGAAGTTTCTCAAATGTAAGTCAAACTCCAAGATCAAGGTCAAAGGGTCAAAATTGTTGGTATCAAAGGGAAAGTCTTGTCACAAGGAATACACATGTGAAATAAGAGAGAAATTCTTAGTACTTCCTCACCTGTTCAAAAGTCATTGCCAAGGTTAAAGTTAAATTGGATTCAACTCTAGTGTCAAGGTCAAAAATATTTATACCTGTTGAAAGTTCACAATGATTACACATGTTAAGCATGAAAGTCCTAGCACCAACTGTTCAAAACTTAAATTAGGCCAAGTTTAAGGTATTTTTCTTGTAAAAGTGGGTCAAACTCCAAGGTCAAGAGATCAAGAGGTCAAAATTGGTGGTACCCATTAAAAGGTTTTGCCAAAGGAAATTTACCTATGAAAGGTGGAAGCCATGTGTATAGCCCAATCCACTTTAAACTAAAATATGGGCAAGGTTAAAGTTTCTGTGAACGGACAAACAGAAATACATGTATAAACACAGGAAACAAAATATGTATATATAGTCAAATGGAAAAATTTTCTACTATTATGGAGTCATAAGATCATTTGTCATTTCAGGTTACAGGGAGTCAGTGGCTATGGAGATCAGACACCCCCTTCCCCCCTTGAATTTGCAGTTATTTAGATAAGACTATTTACTGAAGAGAATAAAAATGACTTTGGACATCCTCCCCCTTAGAAAACAGGGACCCCACCATCATTGTTTTTATTATTATTTTTTTATTTGATTCTCGGGAAATCTTGGGCTGGATTTTTTTTTTGAATGAGGTGTGACACCCCCCCCCTTCCGAAAAAAAATTCTGGGTCTACGCCTGTAATAGTGTATATTCTGAATGTCGGCAACGGGAGATAACTTGACAATGTGAAATTTGTCGACTGTGGCATGCGATGATCTTTGACCCTTTTTGAACTTCAACCTAACCATTTGTATTTATTTATTCTTATGCAATGTATACTAAATCTTGTACTTACCGAATGTCATAGGTTGTGACAACGAATTCATGAAATATAATCCATATAATCCAATTAAAACACAAATGATTTTAACTGACCACACTGCATCGTCAGCATACATGTGCTAAATAATCTCATTCATTAGATGAAGTATGAATCGGCCGAGGTGTGCCGAGTGGACATCTAAAAATATGATAATGGGTGACGCAAACCCAATGTGAATGTAGAAATTTTCAATAAGATGTTTAGTACAGGAACAAATTTCAAACTTTCATAATAAACGATGTTTTAACATAACTTTGCCATCTAGGTCTATTTTTAAAAAAAATGTGTGTGTGTGAGAGAGAGAGAGAGAGAGAGAGAGAGAGAGAGAGAGAGAGAGAGAGAGAGAGAGAGAGAGAGAGAGAGAGAGAGAGAGAGAGAGAGAGAGAGTGTGTGTGTGTGATGGTGAGGGGGGGGGACAGGCATTTACAAATCATTGGGCTGTATTTTCAATGGTTTTTTTTTCTAAAATAATATTTTATGTTATTGAGAAAGTAAATTTAAAAAGTTCCAAATTATGGGCAAATTATTTATCAGAATCTAATTAATTAATTAACTTTATTAATTAAATTCTGTTATTTCAGACTGGTAATGAATTAAGTATACAAAATACATCTATGAGGCTGATAGATCATATGGTCACCTGAAAATTTTATGCTCAATTTGACGAATACATGTACGGAGATAATTATAGAATTATTTTGACTTTTTCCTTCGAAAGTCCAATATGAAGGAGTGTGTATTTAGAGGCAAACACCTTAGTGCGGGTATTACTGTCTCATGACAGCATCTAGTTATGATTACCGTTTGTTCAAGTACCTTTCTTTCGATACATGCATTGTTTTGATATGAATAAAATAAGCAAATACTCAACGATTTCTTTTGTGAAAGAAAATCAAAATAAAATTGACATCGTGCCACGTTTATGTGATTGCAACACCACAGTAAAGTTGACGAATGTTTACTTATATACAGTGGACCCTCATTTATCCGGACGCTTTGGTTCCCGGTCAATTTGTCCGGATATGTGAAGCATCCGGATATCTGAATCACCAGTTAAACAAGACAAAATAACATTTAAAAATTTCGTTCCGAGGAAAAATCGTCCGGATACTGAAGCATCCGGATATCTGGCATCCGGATATCTGAAGGTCCACTGTATATGGGAGTGCTATTATGTTTCCGTGCTTGACTTTACAATTATATATTTTAATGACAAGTGTAAGCGCTAAAATTTATTCACGCCAATGCATTCCAACTTGCTTTTGCGCTAAATTACGTATGCGCCAATTTTTTCTCGGTTTACAGTACGTATTTTTTAAATTCAAGTCTTGGAACAAGTAAGTTCTCATGTGTACTAATTTAGTTAAATTGTAAACAGATCTAGTTGTGTATTCATTCTAAGCAAAAAGTTCAAAAACTTCTTCATAAAAAGAGGCCTATTGTTATTACCTACAATTTTACATACAGATAAAGCAACATCATTGTATCTATTGACATTATATTTTCCATTCTTACCTTGATTCGATATTCTCTCTGACACATCTGTTTCATATCCTCATTAATTTATGTAAAAAGAAAATGAAAAAAAAAAAACATATTAATATTTAACTATTGGGTGTACATTTCCCAGCTGAATCGATTCGCTAGTGCATGCTCTTCATACGAACAATTTCCATTAAGATACAATTAATTTATTGAAAAAAAAGTTATTTGAAAAATAAACAAGCAAACGGCTACAACATTATTAACCAATATCCATCGTCGCCCCGGGTATCTGCTGGTTGAGACACTGTTCGACAATGCAATGTTTTAATGGTTCTGAAATTCGGGTCATATACACATCGAGTTACATTTATTGAAAGCTTTCATCTCTTAAAAATACATAGTCGTATCATGTTTATTCACATGTGTTTTATTATATAATGCTTTTTACAGCAGAAAACAGAAAAATGCATACCTATTGTTTTTTGGTCCATTTTACACTTGACTATTACATTTTCCTTGTTGTAATTACACTTGGTATCCATTTTATTGACCAGTTTCAGCACCGTGTCCGCAGCATAGGTTATTAGGAAACTAATATAGCTATCTGTCGTTTTTGACTCTGTCCATTTACAGAGAGAGCATTTCACATCCTGTTTGAAATCATCAACTAAATAGAATCGGTCAATATTCAATAATCAGTTACATGGATGTTTTTCCGATCTTAAGTTATTTTTAGGTCACCTGAGTCACTCAGGTGTCCTATTGCTATCCGTTTTCGTCCGTCGTCGTGCATTGTGTGTTGTGTGTCGTGCGTCGTGTGTTAACATTTGAACATTTTCAGCTTCTTCTCGGTAACGACTGAACCAATTCCAACCAAATTTGGCATACAGCATCTATGGGTGAAGGAAAAGATAAATTGTGAATTTTATGGTCCCCGCCCCCTGGGGCACGAGGGGTGGGGCCAAAATCACAAAAATAA